AGAGTCCAACATACTCATTTGGGGGCGGGAGGGGTTTGGGAAAATTTCGATTAAGGCCGCAGTGAAGAATTTATTTCAAACAGCCCCTAAAACATTCTGAAATGTCACTGCAAGACCAAAAGATCAAGCTGAAATTAAAATTAAAAATAAGATTATAATAATACCCATCATTTTTATTTTTTTAAAAAATAAATATTAGTGGTCGCTAGAGTTTTGGCCACCAACGCTCAGGTGGTTGCCGCCGGAGGTTGGAGCTTCAGTGGCTAGAAGATTTTTTTTTTTTTTAAAAATAAAGTGGCTAAAGAAAGGTTTAAATTCATGATCCATTAGCACACTAAAAATGATGTGACTACCAAGTCAAGCAAACCATTTAATCATGTAATGCAAATAAAAATATATATAACAAAGCAAACGTAAGTGAACAAGTGAAATTCGATAATTTACATGTGAAATTTAACAATTTACAACAAAAATTTGGTAATTTACAAATAATATAATGAAATTCACAATTCCAAATGCAAGTGTGTAAGTGTAAACGAGCAAGTAAAATTTGAAAATTTACAATAAAAGTTCATGAATTTTACAACCCAAATTTGGCGATTCACAAGAAATGAAAGGGAATTCACAACCTAAAATGTAAATGTTTGAGAATGAATGAACAAGTAAAATTTGGCAATTTACAACAATAATTAAGATATTTACAACCCAAATTCAACGATTCATAAGAAACATGAATACTTGTATTTGAAGTTGTGAATTCTCTTATTGGCTTTGTAATGTTTATGTTTCTTATGAATCGCTAAATTTAGTTTGTAGATAGCTGAATTTCACTTGTTCATTCACACTCAAACATTTACATTTTGGGCTGTGAATTCCTTTTTATTTCTTGTGAATCGTCAAATTTGGGTTGTAAATTCATGAATTTTTGTTGTAAATCTTCAAATTTCACTTGTTCATTTACACTTAAATACTTGTATTTGGGGTTGTAAATTCCATTATGTTATTTGTAAATTGCTAAATTTTTGTTATAAATTGTTGAATTTCACTTATAAATTGTCAAATTTTATTCGTTCACTTACACTTGGATACTTACATTTGTTTTGTTATATATATTTTTATTTGCATTATATGACTAAATGATTTGTTTGACTTGGTGATTATATCACTTTTGGTGTGCTATAATAGTGGCCACCAGAACTCCAACCTCCGACGGCAACTACCTGAGAGCTAGTGGCTAGACCTCTAACCTCCAATAGCAGGAATTCCGGCAATCATTAATATTTATTTTTTAAAAAATAAAAATGATGAGTATTATTGTAATCTTACTCTTAATTTTAATTTTAATTTGGTCTTTTGGTCCTGCAGTAATATTTCAGAATGTTTTGGGGGTTATTTGAAATAAATTCTTAACTGCGGTCCTCAAATCAAAATTTTCCCGGGAATTTTTGTGCTGACAGGTTGGCTAATTGGAGCTTTCGTTGGTTTCCAGTTGCTTTCTCATCCGCCCGATGGTTTGTTAGAGCTTCTGCAGGGAAATGTAATGGGCGTCTCTTGCCTAAATCTGACTAGATTTTGTTGAATGAATTGGGCTTGAGTCTTGCACTTTGCCCAAAAACAAAAGAAATGCTACTTCCTATTGTTAATATAACAGTCAGTTAGTTAACGTGATTAAATTAAAAAAATTAGTTAAATTAGTTATTTATAAAGTTAAAGTATATATTTAGTTCTTTGACTTTGTAAAAGGTTTCAATTTGATCCCTTAACTTCAAAAAGTATATTTTTAGTTTTTAACCCTAATTGTTTTTTAAAAAAATGATGACATTAAGATCTTAAATGTTGATAAAACATTGGGAAAATGACAATAAAATACCACTTGAATTCCAAAAAGACAAATAAGGCACCTGAATAAGCAAAATGACAAATAGGGCACTGGGTACCAATCTGGAATTCATATTTTCGGCCAAAAGACCAAAATGTCCTGATGAAATGCAGGAAGACCGACGCTGAAAGTGAGAGAAAGGAGAGAGGAAGACCGACGCAGTGAGAGAAAGGAGAGAGGAAGACCGACGCTGATGAAATGCGGGAAGAAGGAAAGAAGAATGTTGGAAATGCTATTATCTTACTCCTTCACATCACCATTCTGTAGAGATTGTTGATTTTGGTTGTGGGAAAGAGGATTTGTAGTGAGAGAGAGAGTGAATCGAAGCGAAAAGATGAAGCGGAAATCAAAAAACTGGCAAGCAATTACGTAACGTAACTGCTGTCATATGCCTGCTGGTTTTTGGTAAATCCCATTACGTGAATGGTAAATTTCACTATACATGTAGTTAATTATGAATTTTACAAAATACATATTGTGATTTACAACTTTTGTAGTGAAAGTGACTACTTTATTAATGGGTTTTGCAACCTGTTTTCAGGAGATAAACAACTTGTTTGTAAAAACTAATAAAAGTGACAACTTTTGTAGTCACGTTGAATTAACTGGTTGCAAAAGCCATTTAAGAAGTGGTCATTTTCACTATAAAAGTTGTAAATATCACTGTGTGTTTTGTAAAATTCAGCGTCAAATTTTATTGATTTTTAGAAACAAGTTGCTCATCCCCTGAAAAGAGGTTGCAAAACTCATTTAAGAAGTGGTAATTTTCACTACAAAAGTTGTAAATATCACTGTGTGTTTTGTAAAATTCAGCATGGAATTTTATTGGTTTTTAGAAACAAGTTGCCAATCCTTTGAAAAGAGGTTGCAAAACTCATTTAAGGAGTGGTAATTTTCACTACAAAAGTTGTAAATATCACTCTATGTTTTGTAAAATTCAGCATAGAATTTTATTGGTTTTTAGAAACAAGTTGCCAATCCCTTGAAAAGAGGTTGCAAAACTCATTTAAGAAGTGATAATTTTCACTACGAAAGTTATAAATCTCACTATGTGTTTTGTAAAATTCAGCATGGAATTTTATTGGTTTTTAGAAACAAGTTGTCAATCCCTTGAAAAGAGGTTGCAAAACTCATTTAAGAAGTGGTAATTTTCACTACGAAAGTTGTAAATTTCACTATGTGTTTTGTCAAATTTAGTAGGAAAGTTTATTAGTTTTTAGAAACAAGCTGCCCATCCCCTGAAAACAAGTTACAAAACCCATTGAATAAGTGGTCATTTTTACTACGGAAGTTGTAAATCCCACTATACGTTTTGTCAAATTTAACGTGAAATTTTATTAGTTTTTACAAACAAGTTGTTTATCTCCTGAAAACAGGTTGCAAAACCCATTAACAAAGTAGTTACTTTCACTACAAAAGTTGTAAATCACAATATGTATTTTGTAAAACTCATAATTAACTACATGTATAGTGAAATTTACCATTCACGTAATGGGATTTATCAAAAACTAGCAGGCATATGACAGCAGTTACGTTACGTAATTGCTTGCCAGTTTTCTGATTTCCGCTTCATCTTTCCGTTTCGGTTCACTCCTTCTCTCACTACAAATCCTCTTTCCCACAACCAAAATCAACAATCTCTACAGAATGGTGATGCGAAGAAGTAAGATAATAGCATTTCCAACATTCTTCTTTCCTTCTTCCCGCATTTCATCAGCGTCGGTCTTCCCCTCTCCTTTCTCTCACTGCGTCGGTCTTCCTCTCTCCTTTCTCTCACTTTCAGCGTCGGTCTTCCCGCATTTCATCAGGGCATTTTGGTCTTTTGGCCGAAAATATGAATTCCAGATTGGTACCCAGTGCCCTATTTGTCATTTTGCTTATTCAGGTGCCTTATTTGTCTTTTTGGAATTCAAGTGGTATTTTATTGTCATTTTCCCTAAAACATTCTCAAATACTAATATATTCAGTTTAATTTTTAAAAAATCCATAATTGTTACAAAAAATCATTATTGAAGCTTAATGATTTTAGGATTAAAGGACAAAATATATGCTTTCTAAAGTTAAGAGACTAAATTAAAACTCTGTACAAAGTTAAGGGACCAAATGTATACTTTAGCCTGTTCATAATAAATAGGTTTTGTTTTACATAATATATTCTTACTAATTAAGTATTATTAGATTAAATATTTAGTATGTGTAACTACTACAAAACTATATTAGAAAAAAATAAATAAATATGAGAGACAAAGTGAATTGGGTTTTTATATTTATGACCAAACTAAAGATCAAATTGGCTCTTATATTAAATACAGGTAGTATAATTTGTCAATTGTGCTGATAATGTTTAAATTTGACCTAAGATGATTATATAAAAATCATATCATTTTCAAAACAATAAAAATTATGATTATGATTATTATGATTGTTCTACTAATTTATGTGTCAATATATATATAACTAGATATTTTCCCTCACGATCCATGGATTAACATATTTGATTAGATTTAAAATTCTAATCAATTGTATTATTTAAGGTGACTCAAGATGCACTTCTTATACGAGTATGATCTTTTATTTATTCAAATGAGATTTAAATTAGAGAAACAGAATTTAGGAAAAATAGATAAAAATTATTTTCCTATTTAAACCTCCAATTAATATATCATTTAATTATAATACTCCCTATTTAATTTAATATATTTAAATCCCAATTAAGATATTATTTAAATTCAAAATTAATTATTAATTTCTTTATTTGAGGCTCCAATTGAAATATCATTTAATTTAACATATTCAAATCCCAATCAAGATACTATTTAAATCTCATTAATTAAATATATTTGAATCCTATAATATTATACCCTATTTATTTTTAAAGGTATAACATATTATAAGTTTTAAGAATATAATTGATGATTGTTGATGATTGATGATAGTTTATGTTGATTGATACCATCTCCGTCACCACCAAATTCAAAGACATTTAATTTAATTTTATTATAATTAAACCAGAATCTTATAAATTATAATTCCGCAGATAAGGGATTAATAATTTAATATCCAATCAGAAAAAAATCCAATCTGATAAATAGGGCCAAGTGACGAATATTATCACGGTTTTCAGTTCAGTTCAACAGTTCCTACTCCGATAAGGGTTTAGCGAAGCCAGAGACGAAAATGGGGGAGCCGCAGAAAACCAAAAATGTTACCTCATCGAAACGTAAAGCACCTTCAAAGAAGAAGCCGCCGACGCCACAAGAGCTGATAGCTCACTACGAATCGCAAGGCCTCGACTCCAACGCCGCCGCCGCGAAGGTCATCGACGATCTTCAGAGGGCGTTGTTCGGAGTCATATCCTCCGGCCGCGGCAAAAAGGACAGACTATTGGCCGATTCTTCCCGAAAGATTGATGCTCTCAACAGCCGCCTCACCATCCTCGACCTTAAGCTCGACTCCAAGCCTGGATATCCCGAAACCTTCGCCATCGGAATCGCTTCCGGCGCCGCTATTAATGGAATCGGAGCTGTAATGCCTCAAATTCTTGGAAGTCTTAGTCAAATCTGGAAATCTGTTGCCTCTGTTACCGATTCTTCTTCTTCTTGATTCTCCATCCTGCCAGACATGTTTAACATATTCATCAATAATGAACAAAGGTAGCTCCCCCACCTTCTCAGCCTCTGTTTTCTTTGTCAGGTTCTAATTCCAGATTCCATTATTCTTAAGTAGAAACTAGTATGAAAATTGTACTTCATCCTCAAAACTCAAGATGTTAGGGGTTAGAATTCAGAGATTAAAATAGAGTTTATGGATTAATCTGGTTTATGATATATTTTTTTCCAGAAAAAAAGTTAAATTTCGTTGTGAAAAAATGAATTTAATTTTTTCTGTCGAAGAGAGCATACGAATTCAGGGCTTTGGATAAGTTTTGATTTCATTTATCACGTATGACTCAAACACAGGATAATGTTTCAAATGAATTTCCCCCCCTGTTTTGTAATTTTTTTCTGGTTGTCTAATACTTAAATTGGTTTCGTCGATTTAAGCTGTGTTTTTTTTACCCCCATTGCATTTCAAATCAAAGCAAAAAGCAAAAGCATCTTATTCAAAATGTGAATCTGGGGAGGCAATGCGCCCCCAAACATCATGTTACTTGGACTCACCGTTTAGGGTTCGAAATAACTGCTCGTGTTGATAATATGAATGTGTGTGTATAGAATGGAATGAAGTAACAAAATTAAATGTTCCAATGTTTACGAGTTTTTGAGTGAATTTAGAAATGGTCTGGTTTGCCTAATATAATCCTGATGAGCTAATCTGGATAGCAGAGTGCGAATAAATTATTCTTCTTGTTCTAGTTGGTTTCATTTTACATCATAAATTGGTAAGATGATCTTTCAAAGCAACAGCCATAAGGGTCTTTGTAATGGGTCTGTGCAAAATTTTTATTATTTGGATAATATTTTCAGTTACTTCCATTGTTGAATGGTGTCGACAAAAAGGATATTCTTTTATCCTCATTCATCAACGATGTGTGTCTAACGTTAGCTTATCAGTTTTTTTTTAGGCATGTGAAACGCCAGTGGAGTTTTGGCCCAAAAAAAACAAAAAGCCAGTGGGGTATTCTAAAGTTTATGAGATTTTATTAATCCTCTCATGTTATGTAGCTCGAGGAAGTTTTCAACGCAATCCGACTATCCCAACTAAGGACAAAATGCTGACATATTTTAATACTAAGCTCTGTTTGATATGTTGGAAATGAGAGGTGGAGTTAGCAGAACCTCTACTTCCTTTACGGTCCTTTTCCCCTAATCGACACCGTTCATCAAATTTGTAGACTGAAAAGAATTTAGTGATTTACAAGAAACATAAAGAAATTTACAATCTTAAATGCAAATATCTATGTGTGAATAAGCAAGGAAAATTTGAAGATTTACAATAAAAATTTGACAATTTATAACTTAGATTTGGTGATTAACGAGAAACATGAGCATTTGGGGTTAATGGAATGTTGATAAAACTAATGCTTGAATTGTTGACCTCCAACACTGGCCACCTGAGCACCACCGATGGCTAGATATCTGACCTTTGGTGGTTGGACATTCTACTTCCAGCGGCCAGAGGATTTCTTTTTGAAAATAAGGTGGCCAATGAAGGTTTGAACTTATGATTCTTTGCCACAGAAAAAAAAAAAAAAAACCCCAAGCTAATGAATCCAGCTAGTTAGTCATATAATGCAAAGAAATATATATAGATATATATATATATATATATAACAAAACAAATATAAATGTCCAAGTATAAATGAACAGGTAAAATTCGACGATTTATAAGTAAAATTTTGTAATTTACAATAAAAATTTGGCGATTTATGAGAAACACAAGGGAATTTATAATGTAAAATGTAAATGTTTAGGTATAAGTGAGCAAATAAAATTTGGATATTTATCACAAAAATTTGGCGATTTATAACTCAAATTCGGTGATTCACAAGAAATATAAGTATTTGAGGTTAATAGTGTTGATAAAACCAAAGCTTAAATTGTTGATCCAGTGCACTCTACATATTCATGTTCCGCCATGATGTCTGTAGGATTTAGCACCTGATCCCGAAAACAGACTAACCATGCCAACTACATTACTCCCTCCAATCCTAAAGGTAGGAGTTAAATGGATAACTAATTAACAAATATTAACAAAAATAGTTCAGTTAATTATTTGCAAGGAGTTATGAATTTATTAGACGAAATCGATTGAAGTTTTAGATTTCGGAACAAAATAAATCCCTCAACCAAACTTAACATTTAGGCCACTAGAGGGAGTATTTTATTTTGTTCACATAAGTTCAAATTCAAATGACACGATTCTTACTTCTAACCAATCTTGACCTTTGACTGGTTTCCGTGCTGCAAATCCACCATTTTTACTTTGTAAATATATGAATTTTAAAGTTTATATAGTGAATCAATGCACAAAAGGGGGAAAAAAAAAACATATATAATTGTAATGTGAAAGACTTGCCTGAAGTGACAAAAGAAGATTAATGGAATCATAAAGCCTTTCTGCTTTCATAGTTTCACCCACAGCCTCTTGTGGTAGCACTGACAAAAGAAGACAACACTAAAACTGACCGAAGCATATAAAATTAAAAGGAAACAACATAAAAGGTGAAGAACAAGCAAATTGAGTTGTTTAAGCATAACAAGTTATTTACCTTCAAAACCTCTGCAGTATGGTCCTGATCACAAAAGGTCCATGCCTTTTTTGTAATGTAACGATACATACTTTTAAAGTCATCTTAAGGGTTGTCTTTTACCTAATAAAATCATCATAATCAATATCATTACTTAGAAAAAACAGAAAAGGAGTTTTGATTTTCCGCAGATTGGTGTTTCGTCGCTTACATATTTACTGCAGCTTAAAAAATAATTGCAATAATGGATTTCTGAAAATTTGTCCCTCTTTTCCTTACAAATTCCCGTCGGTGTAGTTAGTATAATATACAAGTATGAAAGTTAATTATTTAGTCCTTGTAATTTTGTCTTGGTTATAACTCAAATTCTTAAAGTTGATGCAACTTAATTTCTCAAATATGAGCCATTTAATCAGTTTGTCCATTATTACAACTTAGTTCTAGAAAGACCGGATATTTTTAAAAAGCGTGAAAAAAATTAAATAGCTAAAACTTAGGGGTTGAGTTGAAGAAGTTAAACATTAGATTTTGAGTTATAATTATGTCAAAACTATATAAATTAAATAAATATCATAAATGGTGGCTCATTCCTTAGATCTTACGCAATGCGGCATTGACCGGCGATTTCTTTATGAAGTCGTCCTCTTGCAAGAGTAGAAGCAATTTCGTCAATTTGGTTTGTGGCAAGTAAAGCTTGCGCAGCAAAACCAGCATCCCATTGTCGCCTTCCAAAAATAGCATATATTAATTAAACACAAAATATTTCATGAAAAAAATTTAAAAAAATGCCTTTAAAATTTCAATAACCCAAATTAGAGATTATTACAAAAAAAAAAAAACTTCTTGTTATTTGATTTTTAAATGTAATCAATTGCTATTAAAGTATAGTATACACGACAGATTTGAAATTTTAAAATTTAAGAGATATTTTTTTTAACTTGAATGTTGATAAAACATTAGAAAATTGCAACGAGAATCTAAGAGAATTAAACACAAAAAGGTCTTTTAAAATCATTAAATTAATCTAAATATCAAGAGACCTCATTGCAAGAGATTTTATTTATTTAATTACCAAATTGTCCTTATCTTTTTTAAGTATGCATTGATAACTAAAAGGGTAGTTGTTAACAACTTAAAGTGTAATGATTAATAACTATCGTGACAGATATTGACAACTTATGCATTACGTTTTTGTGGCTCATTGAGAAAATGTGTTGCTAGTACTTGCTGTGATAATTGTTAATTATTACACCTTGAATTCTTAACGACTGCTATTTCAGTTATCAATACATACTTAAAAAAATAAGAATAATTTGGTAATTAAATAAATAAATCTTTTATAATAGTATTTCTTGAGACTTCAAATTAATTTGATGATTTTAAAAAACTTTATTACAATTTTTCCAATGTTTTATCAATATTCAAGTTAAAAGTAACCTATGTAACGTTAAATGTACTAAAACTATATAGGACCATTATTCTCCTCGAGAAGGGGAAAATTCTTTTTTTTTTTTTTGGCATATGAGAATAAGAAAGATTCAACCCCACAACATTAAATTATGAGTCCGTTCAGATTAGCGATAGAAAAAATAATTTATTTTCAATTTGAGTTTTAGCAAAATAAGATTAGACAAAAGTTAGATTAGGTAATCTTATTAAAAAAAAAAGTTAAATTAGGTAATGTGATTTGTATTTGAATTGATTTTTTTTTTAGTAAAGTATTTGGATTGACTTTTATAAAAGTTAGTTTGTAAACTAAAAATGTTATTTGAATTATGATTAAATAAGTGAGTTTAGTTTGTAAAATAACTAAAATAGGTATGACTTTTATTAAATAATAAAAAATAATATTAAAATTAAAAATATTATAGAAACAGTTAAAAATGATTTTTATTTAAGAAAATATTAAAAATAAATAACTTAAAACTGATTGGGAAGTACAAAAAATATATATAGAGAGAGAAACATAAAAACAATGAAAAATGTCTTTTAATTATAAAAGCTACTTTTGCATAAGTTATGAGTAAGTTTTACAAGCTTTTACAATCATACTTAAAAAAGCAGCGTTTAACCTCCAAGTCAGATTGACAAAAACTTTGATAAACAACTCCCAAATTTATAAATTGAGTTGTTACACTTATAAGCTTTATTTTCTCCTCCAAAACGCCTTAATCTGGGGTGGCACATATGGCTCGCGCTTTTTCTGTTTTATTTATTTATTTTTAATTGCGCCACCTCGCTTCCCCCGTTATATATGCTTGTTGCAGATAGAATGGATATGAATAAAATAAGGTTTAGGTTTGTTTTTTAAAAAAAACTTTAGATTGTTTCCCATTATTTATAATTTAATTTTACAGTATTATAATAATAATTGAAACCGCTATATAATCATCACAAAAACTTAACATTAAATTTTGTTGATTGCTGTCAAGCACGTGTCTTCTTAATAATAATTTGAAAAAAAAAATCTGTATGTCATTTAATTTAGCTAGACGTATACAATTATGCATGGCTTTCACCGTATTATATATCGCTCGTATCAACAATAACGTAAATAATAATTAATATTTAATAATTATGTACATGAAAACATCCGTGCATTGCATTTATTTATAAATTATATTTGATAAATATTAAATATCAGAGATGTATAGATCAAAATGTGTTGAGCAT